TGGGCAGTTTTTTTGTGTGTGAACTTCTACTTTATAAACCAATATGCTTTCATTAAACACAAACGCGTTATACACTAATTTAGCACAAAAAAATGAAAACTTACCTCCACCAAGCCAAAGTGTAAGAGGGAGGAGTGCGGGTGAACGCTTTGATTGCGCCTCCACGAAATAGTAGAATGAGGATCTTCCACGGGAATCATCTGTTACTATGTAACCCGAGTATTGTTTTAATGTAACATCCTTAGGTTGTCCGGGAAGAGAGTGTATTTGCTCTTAGTTAGTTTTTGAGAATAGAGGACACAAAGTGCAATAAAACATGAACCATAAGACCACCATTTTCCCCCATATAATGATTCTTCAGTTGCTTGTTTCTTTGTTTGTGAGAGAATTTTTATGTGTTAGTACAACTCCATAGTTTATGCATGAATTGAGTAAGCATGGGCATACGTCTAAACAGCAACTTAATACACGGAAAATGTATGGTTTGGACAGCCAAATATTACTCCAATGCCACTCACATTCCGTCTTACTTGGGAATTGGGATTGCCCATGTTATGAGGGTGTTTGTGGTTGAATTGTATTTAATTCATATGTAAAATTTGTTGTATATAGGATTAAAATATTAACTGTTTTCATATATAGGCCTCCTTAGTTTAATGTTAATTACATATATAAGATTTAATTAATTAATTAACTGTTAAATAATACGGAGTAATACTCAGTTACAGAGTACTAAAATACCGTCAAATATATATTATTAATTAAATACTCTGTTTGTTTTAACCTAAACCTAATTACTCCATTTCTTGTTCTTCCTAGCGGAGGTTTCAATCTTCCCTCCGTTCATAAATTTTTTATCATTTGACTTTTCATGGTTTTGAATATAAGTTTTGACTATTGATATCTCTATTTATAAATAGATACATACTAAAAAATATAATATTTCAAAACTATGCTTCAAATAAATTTATTGTTATCAAATCTATATGACAACTCAATGTATTGTTTTCATAATTTATGGTTTATGTTTAAAAATTTGAGTATTTGACTAAAAAAATCAAAATGAGAATGAACTCTTTGAAGGGAGGGAGTATTATTCTTCTTGTACAATTGACATCTAATCTTCTTTTTCTTTTTTCCCTTTAAATATTTTGGGTTGGAAAAGTTAACTTTGAACATTTTTCAACTCTTCCAGTGTCTTCCAATTCTTTTTTATATTTTTTTCCAGCTTCTTCTAACTCTTTCCAGTTTCATTCAGCTATGACTTAAAAGATTTATATAAGTGAAATTTTCATATTATTCTTTCTACGTTTAATGTCAACTTTTTGTTTAGTTAAGATAAACAAAAAACTATTGCTATTTTTTCCACTTCTTTTGGTACATGGGTTAATAAGTAGCATGCAAATTAACAAATACGGAGTAAAAATTTAAACTATTGATATTTATTTAAGAAGTTTATTTAAGAAAAAATAAACATAGTTATGAGTCAAAAAAATAGTTTAGCATACGAAAATATTAAAGGAGATAATTAAAATAAATGAAGCATAAATTCTTTAAATAAAAATATAGATCAAGTATCAAAATATACGAAAATATTTTTTTCCAACACTTTTTATTCTTCCGACATTTTCAAATTGCTTTCAATTCCGTTTCTTCCAAGTCCTAATTTTCTCAATTTCTTCAAGTTTTATTTAAGTTTTTCTAGTTTTCTCCAACACTTTACAATCTTTTTTTTTACATCCAATTTTGTGTCGCCGTTAAAAAACTAATTTGGTGTCTAATTTTGTGTTGCCGTTTGTTTTACCAGGGAGAACATACATCCACTGAAAAATGGTTAAAAGTATTACTGGATCCCATTGATAATTATGTCGAAAGACGGCCACTTAAATGCAAAAATTCCAACAATATGCATTTATGCCAAGTATGTAATATATGTAACTTTGTACAAGCTTGTGAATATGTATTATGAAGCAAGCAATTAGTAAGCCACTCATGGAGGAGATCCCTTTAGGAAAGATTTGAAAAGGGTGAAAGCTTCAGACGGATTGCTAGATGGAACAAAATGAGATCCACCCTTCACAGAAGCAAATGTCAAGTATGTGATGTTTTTCCCTTCTCTTAAATGTCCATATGATTCACTCCATCCTCCAACCTAAAACAAAGTAATTTGTGTTAGGTGGGTCCAGATTCGTGTTCTTTGAAACATAATCCATATTTTAAACTTTTGAAATTAACCCATAGTTTGCATAAAGGAAATGCGGTCTCATATTTCCAAGATCTCCCTGTTTGGCCAGCCCTTTTTTAAACGAATCGAATCGAAAATCAAAGTTTAGTTATGGAAGACAAAACAAGGATTAAAAGTGTTCGGCTGATAGATTTTTGGGACATTTTTTGTTCAAAACATTTTTTGGAAGGCAAAACGTTTGTTTTTCGAGTCATTAAATGCACTAAAAAGCTTTACATGAAGATTTTATCTTATATATCAAACGCTTTTTTTTCACAAATAACTAAAACAAAGTACCCAAGTAGCTTGCACAAACACCAACATCTAATGACTAAATAGATATTTCCTAAAAGTTTGCAATTAGTTGTTAGTATTCCCTCCGTTCCATTAAACACTTTCTATTTTGACTTTGGGCCAAAATAAGAAGAGTATAATTTTGGTTGACTTTCCAATTTTGCCCCTGATGTGATGTGTAAAAGTAAGATGTGATAGTTTGGTTGTTAGTGAAAAAGTATGATGTGATAGGTAGGATATGAAAAAGTCGAGGTAAAAGTGGTTTTTTAATAAAAAGTGGAAGTGTTTTAGGGAATTAGAAAAAAACAAAAGAGAAAGGATTTTGTAAAACGGAGGAAATAATATATTTGAAAAATGTAAGCATTTTTTTAAAGATTAAGCATAATGATACTTATAATATAGAGGACTAAAAGATTAATAGGCTGCCAATAACACTGAGGAATTGAATTCAAGTGGGGATTACCTGAGGGCCATTGTACCATGGTCCATTTTCCCGCAAAAGGATGAGCTTCGAGTCTTTAGCAAGGGTATATGCTATTTTCCGAGTCTCCACGACGTTAAAACTCGTATCTTGGTCTCCACTGCAATTACTTGTTAGAATTAGCATACCTTTTAAATTGTTAAAAGCATCTCACATTAATTAATTTGAGAAAAAATAAAAGTTTATAACTTCTTGAATTAAATTAAATAGTCATTTGAATTACTCTAAAAAATTGTAATTGATTAGATTTAATACACTTTTGATGTGTTTTAACCAAAGTTTCTTTTGACTCACTCTAGTGACATCTACCCCATCCCACATTCAATCAAAAACTAGTCACACATCAAGTTTCTACAAATTTGTTTCCATACATGCCCCACATATATACTCCATCCCTTTTTTAAAATGCTTCTTTTTTTGTTTTTCATAAAACACTTCCACTTTCTATTAAAAAACCACTTTTAACCCTACTTTTTCTTAACTTACCTATCACATCATGCTTTTTTTCACTAATAATCTATCCATCGAATCACATCATAGGTAAAATTAAATATGAACCGTTTTATGAAACAGGAGTAACTTTTAGTTAGAATTAGTCACCTGTAAAGCAAGACTCGTATACGTCTCGTTAAAAGTGTCGCAAGTGTATGAATGTATTTCGTAGCATATGGGTCCTTCAAAGGCGTGACAGGAATGACGAGACCCCTGCACTTTTTAAGGGTTGTTTATCAGTATTTCACATTGTTAGCACACAATAAATTATTTTTAGTGCAATAGTATTGAATTGAGGTTGATATAAAAAAATTACCCTAAACACTCATCCCAACTATTTGGCAAGTGAGCCTTGTTGATATGCAAAGCTTTTTGAACTTCTGGTCTGTTTAAGTAGACCGTTGTGTAATCAGAAAGGCATGGATCAACAATGATGTCTTCTTCACTAGTAACCTTCACCATTGAAACAAAGTTTAGTTAGATGGAGTATTATATATTGACAATCAAAAAAATATGATTTCGTCTTCTAGGAGCCGTAAATCCGTAATGTCTCAATAAAATATATATAATCTGTAATATATATAATCTGTGACTAAAATTGTAAAAATATAAAGAGGATGTCTAAAATGACACCAATTGCTTACACCAGCCTAATTTCTCAACAAAAATGACGGTTCCTACCCCCTAACTCTCCTCTAAACCCTAGCCCACCCCCCTTTCCTACCCTTCCCACGCCCTCCCACCCTGAAAGTATACTGCCTAGCAGTAGGCAGTATACTACCATACCGGTAGGGGGGCAGGGGGCAAAGGTGGGTTTGGGTGAGGGGTTTAGGGGTAAGGTTAAAGGGTAGGAATCGACATTTTTAGGAACGGGGGGCACCGTAGATGTCCCAAACGAACTAATGTAAGCAATTGACACCAGTAACTAGTGTCATTTTAGACTTACTCTACTCAAATATAAAAGGACACAGTGAATGTAACTTACATGATGATCTAGTGATGAATTTGAGGTAACACAGTTGGGCAAGAGCAAACTCTCAAATTTGACGTCCTTCCCAATCTCATCGTTCATCTCAAACATTATTTTCTCGCACTTTTTGGACTCTTTTCCACGTTCGACATCACGTAGAGCTTTTTCTGGGCTACACACGGTCTTTAGTTTCGTGTACATTTCTTGAGAAATCACTCCATGATACCATAGGTAGTCACTTATATATTTTTGATAACCTATACCCATGTTCCCAATCTGAAAAGATTCATAGAAATGAGTATTGAACTTGTAAGTTACTTCATTGTTCCAAATTAAAATGACCTTTTTATTTGATTATTTACGATATTCAATGTAATATTTTAATCAGTAATTAATATCTATAGCTATATGTGAATGAACTACTTTAAGTAATGCTAGAAACTCACTTTGACACGAGTTTGATACTAAGTATTTTCACACACACATATAGATAGATATTGAACATATAGATAGATATTGTCTGTAATACATAGACAATGATTGTCTCTCTGTAAAGTATTAGGGCGTGTTTGGTTAAGCAGAAAATATTTTTTAGGGAAAATTATTTCCAGGGAAAATTATATTTCCCCCACCTTTTCTATTGTTTGGTAGGAAGACAATTATTTTTCTAACTTTTTTATTATTAAGATTTCAAAATTAATATTTAAAAATATGTTTTGAAGATAATTTTAATGTTTTTTTAACAAAATGAGGGCGGGCGGTGTAAGGTGAGTTGTTGAGATTGCGGGGGGAAGTGGTAGGAGCAGATGACACAGGTTGAAGAGTGGCAGAAGAGGGTAGGGGTGACGGGTGGTAGGGGTAGGGGCGGAGGAGGTGGGAGGGTTGGGGAATGCGGGTGGCGGGGTCGAGGTCAGGGATGGGGGCGAGGACTGGCTTATGAATTTTCTTTTGAAAACAAACAGAAATAATTTTCCCTTCATGCCAGAATTGTTTTTCTTTAAACATTTTCCTATCGATTTATATTATTAAAGGAAAAAGAAACTCACAGCAAGGCCTTTTAACTTGATTGGATTAACATTGTTTTTGTTGTAGTCAAGCACTAGAGCAGCAACCTGTGGTACTAGGTGCCCTATAAACAATTGTGTGAAAAAAACAATGAATGATCTTGATTTGGAAGCTTTTGATGAAAGTATTTTATGCAGTGTATGTATATATGGTATGAGATAGATAAAACTCTTTAATTACCTATGCCACCGTCACCTCCCATGTAAAAATCCGAGTTCTTGTATTCAGGAAATCTCTCAAACCATTTCACAATGAACTTCAAATTTTCATTCACTACATCAATAGAATACAATCATGAGATGCTCTTGATTAAAGGGCCGGTTTAGGTAAGAAATGAGAATGATACATTTTCCGATTACCGCGATGCATTTTGTGTATCTTTGGCACAGATAGAAAAGTTTGAATTAGTTTCAAAATTGCAACCATGACTTTTTCATTTTTTTCTTCAATTTTTCATTTTTAATAACCTCTGATTTTAAATCTAATAGATCACATGCATTTTCATTTCCTTCCGATGTACGTCATTCTCATTTAAACAAAATTCTATATATAGACACACACAACATACCTATGGTGGTAAGGTTCCAGTCAGTGTAGTCCGAAGGTGTGTTGGAGAATGAAAACCCAGATCCGATTGGGGAGTCTACATATAGCATGTTTGACACTGCTCGTTTCAAAGATTGTGTTATTGAAAAAATGGCTAAAAAGTAATTTTTCTATATCATTTATGATTTACTCCTAAACTCTTCAAAAATTGCATAGGTTCCACATAAACATTAAAAATTGCAATAATGGTCCCTGAACTTTTAAAAATATTACACCAATAATTCATATGCACCATATTTTGAAGTACGTTAATCAGATCACATGCTCATTAATATGTATGGAGTATGTTGCAGGCTTGGAGCTTGATGAAAATGCATGTTATGGATTGATGAAGAGATTGATTCGTTGATGGAGAGCTTGATCAAGAGATGCCCGTGCCGAACTTTGAGTTTGGTTACCGATGACTAAAACAATAATACTCCCCCTCTCTCTGAAAATTCTTTCTCCTTTCTTTTTTCATCGATCCCAAAGAACTTTTCTCATTTCTATTAAAAAGTCAATTTTACCACTATTAATTTTTAACTTACCTATTACATCACATATATATTCACTATTCTACCCATCAAATTCTACATTTATCCATCACATCCAAAGACATTTTTAGAAACTCAACACTAAAATATACTCTCCTTAAATCCCTTAAAAAATAAAACCTCATATATTTTTAGGGATGGAGGGAGTAACTATTTAGGGCTTAAGGAGGTTAAAAATATACGAAGTAGAAGATAATATTTTGAAAAAAATATATTGGAGCACGCACATGTGATATATGAGTTTAGATTAATTCATATTTGCGCTAGAGGAGCATATGATTAACGCACTTTCAAATGTAGTGCAGAGAGATATTGATGCACTCTTTTTTAAAAGTTCGTGGTCAATTGGTACAATTTTTAAAGTTCAAGTAGAATTCACACAATTTTTGAAAAGTTATTGGATAAATAGCGTGAAAAAACTCAAAAAAGAAATGTTACCTAAGTTCCAAGAATATGGGTTTCTCACAAGCTTTCCATCTTTTCGTGGCCTAAATGGACCATTTTCAGTGAACAAAGCTTTGCCAACGGAAGAACATCCAATTGCTGATTGTTCAAAAAACAAGAATAGCCTCTTAAGGATTCCATCATTATAAAATTTTCAAACGAAAAAAAACACGAAAACTTACCTCCACCAAGCCAAAGTGTAAGAGGGACAAGTGCCGGGGAACGCTTTGATTGTGCCTCCACAAAATAGTAGAATGAGGATCTTCCATGGGAATCATCTGTTACTATGTAACCTGAGTATTGCTTCAATGTAACGTCCTTGGGTTGCCCAGGAAGAGAATGTATCTGCTCCGAGTTAGTTTTTGAGAATAGAGGACACAAGGTACAATAAAAGATGAGCCATAAGACCACCATTTTTCTCATAAAATAAGTATGTTCTTTGGTTGCTTGCTTGTTTAATTTGTTAGTGAAACAATTAACTGGTTTAATTTGTTAGTGAAACAACTTGTTTAATTTGTTAGGGGAACAATTTTTATACTCCGTAGTTTAAGCATGAATTGAATAAGTATGGGCATACGTCCTAACACCAACTTAATACACGGAGAATGTATGGTTTAGACAGCAAAATATGCACAAAAATTCCGTCTTACTTGTGCTTCCTCTGACTTGGCATTACCAATGTTATGAGTTATGAGGGTGTTTGTGATTTTGTGGTTGTTTTTAATTGATAACTGAATTTTTAGTTTATGTATTGGATTATATCATCTTGTTTTTTTGCAGTTGAGGACTTGAGGGTATATTTTGATAACATCCTCTCTACGTTGTATATGCAAGTACAAGGCATAAAAGAATTACCTATACGAGTATGAAGTTTAGCCGCTTCACAAAGTTTGGACTTGACTTTTATATGCTCGTTGAAGGATAGGGACACAAGACTAGTAAAATACGGTGTCAAGTTTGGAACAAAAAAGCACTTAGAGCTTATGTGTATATTATCTCCATGTATTCATAATTTCATATGAATTGTAAGAGTTCAATCCTTAGAGACACCCCAAAATTTGAATATTTGGAATGTGCAATATACTAAGATGAAAATTCAATTGTCGTGACATTTTTATTTATGCATAAGTTTGTTGGATCTATTATCTCAAGAAGTAAGTCATGGATTACATAGAGGAGGATTGTTGGTGATTTTAGTATTATCGGTTATTTTGTGTAATTGGATTTACTTATATCGGACAAAAATTTAAATAGATGTTGTCAAACGAGTTAGGAGGCACGGAGTGCGCGCTCGTTCAACGATATTATAAATTCATTGCGGGGGTCCGGGGACGGCAGCCCCCGGGGTAGCGGGGGTCCAGGGGCGGCAGGCCCCTGGCGGGGTCCAAGGGGCGGCAGCCCCTGGCTGGGGTCGAGCTATTTTCAGACGTTTTTTCTTTATGAAAATCCTTAAGATTTTCGTGATCAGAGTCCAAAACAATAAAGGACTCGAACGAGTGGATAACGTCGAATATGACCCTAACACTGTAGGAGGCCTTTCGTTCAAACCTTTCCTGATTCTCGCGCGTTTCGCGCCTACGCGAACGTTCATGTCCGGTCATGAATTTTTTACTCTATAAAATAGAGTTTCGTGGTATGGATTGATGTTGGATTTTGAGTGCTTGTTGTTGATTAACGTCTTATCCGAATTGAAGTATTCGTATACCCAAAAATAACTTTGATCTGAAAACGTTTATACGCGATTCGTTATACTATCGAGTTTTCTTCAACACTGCTTCGCAGTGTTCTTCATACTAAAATTCCTACACTCCGCCACCATAGTATCATCTACCATCGCCCCACTGCCACTTCCCCTCCATACTGACACTGTTGCGGCTACACTGCCAACTATGCTGGCACACTTTGACTCTCAGCTACCACACTTCCACCATCGCCGCTACACTGCGCACTCTGTCGCTACATTACCCACTCCGTCACCACACCCCGGCCAGCCGGCCACCATAGCCGCCACGCTGCGAACTCCGTGGCCACACTGGCAACTCTACTGCCACAGAGTCACCATCATAAAAAAAACCTAATTTCAAATAACAAACTCAGATTTTTCTCATTTGAAATCTCAGTTTGAAAAATCACAAGAAATCAAACTTAATTACGAACATATTCATAACCGAAATTGAAGAAATCAAAAATAATTTTTTTATTGTACTAGTGTTTCTCTTTGGTTTTGGCTCAAATATTTGAGGATCTTGGCCTACTTTGAGAGCTCTTTTGAGTTCTGAAATCAAATTTCTAGACCATTGAACGAGTTATCAGTTATGAGCTCTCTTGAATTTTGATTTTTGGCTACTATTCTTCATCTACAATTGATTTGAGAAACGAGAACAAAACCAGAGCAAGTGTAGAGATATTAGTGGATACTACCTCCGTCCTAGAGTATTTGTCCACTTTCATTTTAACATACCATCCAATACACTTCTTTAATCCATTTTATCTTGTAATTTATATATTAAAAAATTATAAAAATTATATATTAATAATCTATATGTTAAGACAAATCAAACAAGATCACACATGACTATATTTAGGCTTACACATTGAGAGAATTTGATGAGTCAAAGTGCTTAGATGAACAGTTCCAAAAGTCAAAACTGGACGAATACTCCGGGATGGAGGGAGTAGTTTGTTAGTTGGTTGCTTTCTAGCTATCCTTCCATGTTCTATTCCTTTATATGCCCCCCTTTTTTTTATAAACATTCAGGTGTATATTGGATTAATAAGATTACTATAGCTTTCATTCATCATCTTTCTTCTGGTTTTCACATGATATCGAAGCTTCCGCGACAGAAGATCTTCACCGATTGATTCGATCATCTAAAGCTTTCGATTGACATCAATGGTAGAATTGAATAACAAAGAACATAGAAGCACAATTCTTGATCCTTATGGGCTTACTAGGCAAGATAATCCTGGTTTAGCCCTAGCCACATCCAAATTCACAAGAGCCAATTTCTTCCCTAGGAAGAAGTCTATCACCATGGCGCTGGGAACCAAATCCAAGCTATTATACATTGCATATAATAGCCTCACATTTTGAGGGGGTAAAGGGGGGTCTAGGGTGGGGGCGCAAGAGTCAGGCTGGGGTGGGGTGATGTGGAGGGTTTAGTGAGGGGATTAGAGGCGTGGGAATCATCGATTTTTTCATTTAGAGCACCGAAAAGGTTCTAAATGAACGAGTGTCATTTCTTGACACTGATATCCAGTGTCAATGATACCTTGTTGTTAAACTATATATTGGCATTATGGGCCCTATTTTGGGACAAAAATGCAATATTTCTATTTTGTTCTCCTTACCACTCTTTATATTTTAAGTTGCGTTTTGTTCGTCTCATCTTATATGATTTTTCAAAGATATGATATAATCTAATTATAATAATATTTAATGTTATTTTTAGTTTAATCTGGTTTGATCTGATTTGGTCTAATTGGATTTTAGTAAAAATAACTAATAAGTTTAAAAAAATAAATTAAATGAAATACCCTTAGGTTACGTTCCGTTCGTCTGATGTGATCTGATCTGATTTTTTGAAGTTCTGATCTGGTCTGATCTGATATCATCTTATTGGATCTGATACGATATGGTCTGATTTGATTGTATCTGATCTGATATAAATTTGATTTAAATTAAAATTATTATTATAATAGTTATAATAATAATAGAAATATTGATAATAATAGTAATAAAAGTAATTATAGAAATAATAGTAGTAGTAGTAATAATAATAATAGGAATAAGAATAGTAATAATAATAAATATAATAATAATTTTAAAAATAATAGTAATAATAATAATAATTGTAACGCCCCAAAATATACCCTAGAATTATTAATAAATAAATAATCAATTAATCAAATTTGTTTTAATGTTTGTTGGGCTTTGGGCCAAAATGAAATATGTTTGAATATTGAATATTACAATCAGGATAAGTCTCATAGAGATAAATCTAAAATATTGACTAATTATGTGATCTTGATTGGGAACCTGTGTACAGACCCAAATCAAGAATATATGAAGAAATTATTTTGATGAGAACTTTGAAATGATTTATTGAAATAAATCATTAGAACAAATTATATGAATTAAATGTGAGAAACCTTTTTGAATAAAGATCAACTAAATCAATTTTGACTCTGTCAAAGTCAAACACCCAAAAATATGATGTCGGAAAAAGTATTACAAATAAATAAAAAAATTATATCAATAGATAGAGTTTAACTGCCCGATCACAACGGTGCAAACAGAATTCAATTCAGAGAAAGTTGAACCAAAAAGTGTACCCCAACTGGAACCAAAATTGGTCCCAATCAAGGACACTGTGCGAACGGCGCCTCCTTCCCCACTCAGCCGATCGTGAGTCGATTCCTACGCAACATCCTGTGTCTTGTTCTTCATCATCTTCACTATATAAAGAGCTAGAATTTCTCATCCTTCATCAAAAGTTGTGAAATTACTACCATTGTGTTCATAAGAGTAAGGAGAGCAGTCTGGTGTTGTTGGTTGCCTCCGAAGTCGCCGGAATTGGGAGTAATCATTGCCGGAAGTTTCGCCGGAAAATATTCAAAACCTTCATTTACCTTCGAGGTAAGCCCGTTGATATATCTAGTGACTAGAATGTTCGTATAGATCGTTTCTACGTTCATAAACGCTCGTTTGGTTGAGTTTTGTGTTTGACATGCTTGAAGAACCAAGAATCATAAACCATGAATTTGATGTTTAAACTATGAATTAATGATACCAAAATGACCTATGAACTTTGGAGAACATCCCTATATAGTTTCGTTGAAGTTCAGTGTCTGAAAATGGGTTTTCCGAAAAATGGACCGAAGGTTGAAGAAGATGAACAGTAGCTGAAACACCACTGTCTGGATCGATCCAGGGGTTTGGATCGATCCCCTGGGAGTGATTTTTCATAGTATGGATCGATCCAGAGGGCTGGATTGATCCCCCGAAGTTCTGACCCGAAAATTTGTCTGAAAATGCTATTTTTGAGCTCTAAAATCCTATTTTTGATACCAATTGATTATGATTATTATAAAAATGATTTACCACAATAAAAATGATGTTTTTAACAACTAAAAATGTTATGTGTTGCATGACGGTAAGTTCGGGTGTTAACACTCGAAGCTAGGCCGCTATTTGTTATCAATTGTTATGTTAATTGATGATTATGATAAATGAATATTATGGATGATTATGAGTAATGAACCCACTGATTAAAATGAGTATTTATGATTGAATCATGAGTAAAATGAATACAATTATAATTATGAAATGATTTGTAGTGTTAAAGGTATATAGAGGAACTCTAAGATATACACATTTAGTGAATTGATGTTAAGGCTATCTAGAAGACCTCTAGAATAGATCTCATATTAGTATGGATTTGTGAAACATGAATATTGGATGAATTAGATAAAAATGCATAAACGGGATTCGTAGACCAAGCTAGAGGATTACTCGTTTGGGAATGCCCGATCCAATGTTGATCAATTGTCATATTGTTGTTGTTGCCTTAACTTACTACAGTTAAGTGTCTGAATCATTTGCCTTAAACTAGTGATAGTTTAAGTGTCTGATTGCCTTAACTGACTACAGTTAAGTGTCCGAAATCGATTGCCTTAAACTAATGATAGTTTAAGTGTCTGATAATTAATTGCCTTTTTAAGAGCATTGTTATAATCTGGCCTTAGACTAAGAATAGCTAAGAGCATTGTTATAATCTGGCCTTAGACTAAGATTAGCTAAGAGCGTTGTTATTGTTTGGCCTTAGATTAAGAATAACTTAAGTGCGCTATTAGAATAATATCTGAATTGAATAAAATGTGTTGAAAATGAACTGAACATTATCAAAACTGTGAATGCCTGAAATGAACATTGTGTGCATGATATCAAATGAATTGAATATGAATTTAGATTCAATTTATATGGATGAAGCTTCGTAATCTATACGAATGAGTCGAAATGGCGACTCGCACATCACACAAAATAAACGATGTGCGTCCATTTGTCTTTCTTGTTACACTAGGACGCGGCAGATGGGGCGAGATTGTCGGGATGGATGTGACAAGTTTGAAATGATTTATGATGTGCAAATATTAAATTCGCTTCCGCAATATTGTTGAATACTCTGGACTGTATCTGTTATGAAAAATATTATTATGATAAATAAAAAGTGTTTGAAAAGTTTTAAATTATTACGATTGCCAAATTAATACTTTAGTCTTAAAGGGACTGCAGACCTGGACAGATTAGGGTGTTACAATAATAGAGATAAAAATAATAGTAATAATAAAAATAATAATAACTATAATAATTGTGATAATAATAATTACTATAATAATAATAATAATAGTTATAATAATAATAGAAATAATAAGAACAATAATACTAATAATAAAAATAATAATATTAATTTTATTTAGATCTAATCAGATCAAATCTGAATAACAATAAGTATTAACTATTTACTATTAAGTATAAAAAATAAATTGAACCAAACGGTGCCTTAGGCACCGTTCCGTTCAACTTATTTTTTCTTATTTTTTCTTATTCTTATTAAAATCAGATCAGATTGAATCAGATCAGATCAGATAAAGCTATTTGTACCCCAACTTTTGTACCCCACTGATTTGCACAATACTTTGTGTTGGTGTAAAACTAATTTTTGTTAATGCACCGACACTTCGTGTCCGTGTAAATTTTTGTTAACGCACAAACACTTGTATCGGTGTAAATCATCAAAATGTTTGTGTATAACTGTGGTATACAAATGGAGTACAATTTGGTGTAAATGTAGGATCACCCTTTTTACATTTTTACCCAATCCAACCGAGGTAAAGCCAATTGCCCTATTGTAGTTCTTCCTCCGTCAGCCGCAAAGTCGCAAACAGCAGAAAGGAGACGCGAGACGAGGCGACCTCCATCACCCCCGCTCTCCAAGCCGCCCTTGGTCCGGACGTACGCCGCAGCATCGCAGAGTCGCTTGCCAGACGCCGCTCCCCCAACCTTTACTGACCTCTGAACGCCTGAGTCGGTCTGACCCGGTGAGTCACTATCCCGCCACACTATAATGTTTTTTTTGTTTGTAACTGTTAATTATTTTTCTATAATCATTAATTCTGATTTACTTATAGTATGAAATTATAAAGTTGTAATTTTAATCAATTATAGTATATGTTAATAATGTTTTAACAAAGTATTAAGGTTTGTTTTTTTTAATTAAATAAATACTAATTAAAGGTAACTGATAAATTTTCTGAACTACTAGATTTTTCCGGCAGGTTGCACGACAAGAAATCTTTTTTGAACAATGTTATTAATATATATAGCATCGATAAGAATTAAGTGTAAATCTGTTGTACTCTCCATGACGGGCCAATTTTTTTAAAAACATAACATAATTATGAAAATTCCAACAACAAACAACAACCCAGTTAAGTCCCACAAGAAGGGTCTGGGGAGGGTGTGTGCACGCAGACCTTGCCCCTACTCGAAAGTAGAGATGTTGTTTCCAAAGAGACCCCCGGCTCAATTATGAAAATTCCAAATAGTATATAATTTAAGGGAATCTCGCCCAAGAAAAACGTATTGTACTTTTATTTAAATTTTTATAAAGTGAAATTATAAATCAATTATTTTATAATAAATAAATAAATTTATTTGTAAATATTTAATGCAGTAATTAAAAAACTAGAATTCAGTACAAGTTAATATTTTGTCAAAGAAACATAATTATGGAATATTACAAAATTATAAAGGGAGATGTATAATAAATTATTTAATGTAACATTTTAAGATTTTATGTTGACTCTATAATCTGCACTAGAATTAATTTTTTTTTGTATAAATTTTGACATCACTTCATAGTTTTATTTTATTTAAATTGATGATAATAATAATAGTAATAATGATAATAATGGTGATTATTATTATTATAATTGTAATAAGGATAATATGAAAAATATATCTAAATAATTTTTTAAAGTCAATGTTGGAAGAAACTGAATAGAGTTGAAAAGAACTATTCCCCCGTCTTCAAAAACACTTCTTCTTTCAATTTTTTCACTTTCACTAAAATACTTCCACTTTCTACTAAAAAACCACTTTTACCTATACTAATTCTTACCTTACATATCACATCATATTTTTCACTCATAATTTATCAATCACATTTTACTTTTCCAGTTCACATCAAGGGCAAAATTGGAAAGTCAACCACAAATATACACTCCTTATTTTTTCCATTAGTCTTAATAGGAACCGTTTTGGTGAACGGAGGGAATAGAAGGAAAGATGTAGAAAGAGTTCGAAGAAACTGGAAGGTGTTGGAAAATGTTGTAAGTTAAAAGTTAGAACCTAAAAGAGTAGTGCCATAGTGTGTGTTTTTATCAAAATTTTAAAAATTAAACTAATTACTACTACGAGCAAACATTTATCAACACATTGAGTTAGAACTTACGACCAAATATTAATTAACACATAATTCTTAAATGTAATTTCCACTGCAAACAACTACTTATGCAAACAACTACTTATTCACTTAGAGCAACTCTAAAGGCGAAGGTAAATGAAGAGGCATACCTCATAACTTTCCAATTTGCCCTCTCTTTTCTTATATTTTGTAATCCAATGGTGAAGTTATACGCAGAGGTAATATACCTTCTTTCAATTTTGAGGGGTATCAAATATCAATACATTCCCAAAATTGAGAAGATAAAAGAAAAGTAGAGGGAAAAGCAAGCTAACTTCCACTTTTTTCTTCTCTTGTCCTATATTTTGCATTCCAATGGTGAAGGCAAATGGAAAGGCAAAAGTCCTCCCAATTCGAAGGAGTATTAATATCCTTTTAAATTTGCCCTTTCTTCATTGGAGTTGATCACTTTTGAGAAAAGAAAAAATCACTTTTTGAGGAGGTAGATGAAGAAAATACCTCCTCATTAACACATAAGTTTGCCAAACAATATTTCTCTAACAGGTAACACAATCGGTCATCCAATCCAGCCTACACAAACAATCAACAACTACTCTTCAAACAAGGCTGTTATCTCAAATCTATTTCGTTTGTGAAATGGAAGTATACCTCATGTGTCTGATTTAGGCAACATCTATTGCTGAATATATGAAAATGGAAATGCTCTAGTTTGACTTGAGAGTTGAAATTATTTTAGGCATTGGAAAATTTAATTTAGTCTATGCTTTATCTTTAATTAATTGGCTCTATTGGAATTGGAATTTGATGGAAAAATCAATTGGCTCAATTTCAACCAAAATTGATCGCTCTTTGATACACACACACACACATATAATAATAATAATAATAATAATAATAATAATAATAATAATAATAATAATACTCTAATAGATTAGCAAGTGTATGTTCCTTGTAGTCTTATTTGTATTCAAATTCTGATCAAATATGACACATCGTACGCAAATACACGAATAGAACACAAATACCAAATAATTAAGATTCAAATATGAATGGTTGTCAAAATGTTCAACTATAACTAATACTCTGTAATGTTCATTATTTGATTTGTTTACAACCATACTTTTGGCTTTTCGGAGATGTAGAAAATTCTAAACTATTTATTTATTATCTCTTTTCTTTCTAAGTATAGATACCTTGACACAAACTTGTGAATGTGTATTTTTGAGCAAGACATAACTTAGTTAGATACTAATAAGGAGGATCCCTTTAGAAAAGCTTTGAAGAGTGTGAGAGCTTCTGAGGGGGATGAGGAAGGTACAAAATGAGATCCACCCTTAACTGATGCAAATGTCAAATATGTCATATTTTTTCCCTTCATTGATTTTCCAAATGCTTCGCTCCATCCTCCAACCTAAGAAAAAAAAGGAGCAAACCATCAACTCTAAGACTGTTTTCATATTTTGGTTAAGCTGTTTTGCAATATTATTATCTTAACTTTGTAGATTCGATCTATTGCGTTCCTTTCATCCTAAAATATGTGTTTCTTGTTATACTAAATATTAGGATGCCATAGGTGAGGACATTCATGATGATGTCAAGATCTAGTCTACATGATTTCATACCATCAAGCTCAAGCCGATTAATCATGTGTTCCAAGATTGTTACCCCGTAGTATAAAGGTATTTATTCTTGGATCTCAAGAATTATTTGTGTTAATATAGTGAGTGGCAATGTGCTCAACTATGATATTTTATCAGATAAAGTGACAACAATCGAGATCAATATGATTGGTCATGTCATGATATACTAGATTCACTAGAAGACTTTATTACTAAAATTTTATTGTTATTATTTAACTGGTCAATGTAGAGGAGCTATAAAATTTCATTTGAACAATGAATAATATTATAATTAGGGCATTAACGTGTAAACATAACAATAATGATATTGCAACATCAATTTACATGTTTAAAAGGTGCATGACAAGCTCACAAGGGTTGAAAATGCTTGTGTTTTTCCTTTGAATGTTAAAAAAACCCAATCTTTGAAATATAAATTGTCAAAACTGCAAAGATCACTCCCGTGTTATATAGGGCTCACCGGATTATAACATAATATAAAACTCACCACAATTTATAAATGAATATAAGTGAAAATGTGGTAAGCATCATGTATACACACCGATGACCTTTGCCTTGCACGGGAGTGAGCTTGTAAGCGATGAACGCTTCTTATGAGGCAGAAAGAATACGGAGTATAAGATAATCGTTGTGTTTGGAGTGTTCACATTGTGACCCATAAACTTGGATTTTGGTAGCCCACATGATGGGTCAATTCTACGATGATTTTTTACATCTCTAAATTTAGTTATACACTTTTATGGACTTGTTTGGCAACAATTTCAATGTTTATGTTTAGCATTTTGAAAAAGCTATCTAAGAGCGGTGTTTAGCTTTAACATTTTTAAAGTTAATTTCCACCATTTAAAAAGTGTTGGGATTTTAAGCGCATAAAACGTAGAAAATATGAAAAACGTAAAAAATAAATACACACACATAGGAAGAGGTTTTTGAGAGAAAGATTCAATCTTCACTATGTCAGAATAATATACAAAAAAACTCCCTCCCTATTTACAAGTGTTGAATACCACATACTTATAAACAGATCTTTTTATAGCCTAGGCTTTGAATCTTTGATACAATTTTCTGAATAACTAAATATCAGTTACTCTCTACACTCATACAACCTCGATTGTATCTTGTGTAGAATTTTTTTCACTCTGTATTCCTCCGTATAGCGCGTATATCACACCTAAGCACTACACTCTCCACATATAGCAAAAGTTAAGATATCATGGGTCATCAAAAACAAAAGGACAGTCAAACCCTTCAAAAAAACCTCCCATGCATGATGCCACTCACATGCCGTTCACTTTCCTACAAGCATGCTACTAGTTTTTTTTTCTTTTCTTAATTTTTTTTAATTATTTAATAACAAATCTCAACAAACTCTACCTTGATTAGATAATTAAAATTTGGCCCGACTCCACCTCACTCGTTCTGGAGGCCAATACCTCCACCAACCAGAGAAGCATTAAACCACCCATTTCTTCAATTCCATATTTCCATGTAAATGCGGTGCTTGTCCCACTTGTTATTTTACTTCCGAAAGCTTTACCGTCAAAAGTTTTCTACAAGTTTATACAAGTCATTTGACAAATTCCTTTTGATACCACCATTTCCCCACTGGAAATTTTTAGCACTCCACTTTGAGCAAAAAAATGGCAGCCTTTGGAATCTAAAGCTCTCAATGAAATCAAATTTCCTTTTGAACCCAGTATATGTTCCACTGCAGTTAATGTTTTCACTACTTCATCAAACATGCGAACCCGTATTGTTCCAATCCCGATGACCCTGTTTGGTGACCTTGCTCCGTGCACCATTTGTCATCTTGACAGTACTCCCATCACAAGCATGATAAGTGTCGAATTGCTCTTAACTGAACACATGTGAAACGAATAACCCGAATCTAATAACCAATTTGATTTACCTAGACTCTTAAGAGGTCTTTCTCACTTGCTTGGATCGGACCTTCTGCGACTGCAGTCATGGGTGTTTTCACGTCCTTTTCCTGACTCCTCTTTGGACAGTCTTTTTCCAAATGATCCTCTTCATCGCATTAGTAACACCAAAACTTTTTACTACTTGATTTGGAGTGTCGGGACACACCCCCTCTCTGTTGAGATTCCTTGCTCCCTGCCTTTCTCTTTTGCAATCAAAGCCTGACCCTCATTTGACATTCCGTTGTTTCGTCGAGACTCGTTCGTCAATAGCATAGCAACCACCTGATCAAGTTTTAGGGTCTCTCTCCGAACAAGACAAAGGTAAAGAAGCCAACAAAAGCAGCTCCTTGTCCTCCTCTTGAAATTCTCTTTTTTGAAAAAGGTTGCATCATTCTAGGCTTTTAGGTTTGAGATTTGAGAATCATTTGCCACATCACAAAATAAGAATATATGTGGCAGATGATAGTGATAAGTGAGGTAACAAGGGAGTAGTATGATAAAAAAATATGTGAATTGTTGGAGTGATTGTATCCTTTATTTAATTTAGAAATATTGACATAAATAGAGAACTTGTTGGATTAATGGCCTAAACTTTTCCTTTAATGAAAGTAGAAAATGACATATATTCCTTTGAAATTTGATGTGGTTCATTAATGTCTATCATGCTAATGCACCTTGTTAGAGATTTTTTATATAATTCGCTTTAATTTGATGATTAAATATGGAAAATGAAAGAATAACTTTGAACATTTAAAAGAAATAGAAAATGCACAATAACATCCGAGCTAATATTTGTAGAAAAAGTATCAAAACAAGAGTTACCATGAATAGTTTTGCTTATACAATGGAAGAGAAGTGGAGTGGGCATTACCTGAGGGCCATTGTACCATGGTCTATTCTTTTGCAAATGGATGAGCTTCAAGTCTTTTGCAAGCATGTGTGCAAATTTCCTAGTCTCTACCACTGGAATGAATATATCTTGATCTCCACTGCAATAAATTGTGGCTATTAGATCTGTTTGATCTCCACTCCCACAATAATCTTCTAGATATATTACTAATAGATATATTAGATCTCCACTGTAAATACTTGTGGCTATTAGATGCATTAGTTCTCTACTTCAACAATTGTTAACATTATTTTAACAGTTATTTTACCACATGAAAGATTTATCATAAATCTTGCTCCCGAACCGGCCTTAAAATTTTTTCAAAAGCAGGCTGTGATGCCATTGGGGACTCTATGATAGTGATGGTGAGCTTTGCAGTGGACACAAACACTAGCAGTAGTATCCATAAAGACTAGCAAATGTGCGGAATAACTGATAATGATAAATTTTGTGCGGTGTAAACTTTTCTCCTTTTGCATTGATATACATCATGGTATATTGGAGAAACTACACAAGGAATCCAGGAAAAAAAGGTAACCAAGCTAAACAAGGAAAGGTAATAAAAGGGAAACCGTACATACAAATAAAGGCAAAAATAACTTATAATCAAGGTAAGTTGTTCTTAATACGCCCCTCAAGACGGAGCATGTATGAAAACAACAGCCCAACTTGCAAAGAAGAAACTTCAACTATTGGCGATTCAGAGCCTTTGTAAAGATGACTGCGAGTTGAAGGCGGGATCAAATGTGAGAGGTAGATGTTATGGAATGATTATGGCATCTATCTATAGAAGTGGCCGTGCAAGGGGAGGAGGACATTTGTTGTTGACTTAGGGTATTAGATTGTGGGTAGAAATGGAATTAAGAGTCCTCTTTAGGCTTTTGAACATTGATTCCAGTTTTATTCTTATGCGCATAGATTTCTTTATATGTCCCAACCTGGTACGAATGCAAACATAAATCATATAACAGTAGCACAATTCTATCTAAAAATGAACATTTTAAATCTTCACAAAAATAATAAATGTAATGTTAAAAGCATTTAATACAAAGTACTGCTATATATGTATAAGAAAAAACTGACCTGTAAAGAAGAACTCGGATATGTCTCTTTAAAAGTGATGTCAGGGTGTTCAAGTTTTTAGTTTCAAATGCAGGCAAAAGAGTTAAAGGCCTGCAGTGTGTTTCATATATCAATTTTGTTATATTTAGCATGGAATGCCCATCTTATTTAATTTGTTCCAAGTATATATGAGAAATTTCCCAAATAACCCTATTTTATTTGTAAAAATTTCCAAACATAAAGATGAGTAATGGGGAAGTATCTCTATCATTGGAGAATTATAAACCAGGCGAAAAGTTATACGGAGTAAGAAATACCCGGCACAAGAATCCCAACGATATGGTAAACGAGTCTTGTTGGCATGCAAAGCCTTTTGAACTTCTGGCTTGTTCAAATAGATTGATGTGTCATCAGAAGGGCATTGATTACAGAAAACGTTACCCCTTGCCAGCTTTACAGTTAAAAATACTTAGAAATGATGTATGGGAAACTGCATAAGATCTTAATCAAGCAAAACCATTATTGTACTGGATTCACTTACACACTTTTTGGATACACACATTTGCAAGAGGAAACTGTCCACATTGAAGTCTGCACCCAGCTCTTTGTTCAGCATATCCGACATTTTCTGGCATCCTTTGGACAGTTTTCCCCGGTGCCCCTCTTGAATAGCTTTTGTTTGGCTACATACTGTCTTTAGCATAGTGTATAGCTCTTCTGAAATTACTCCATGGTACCACAAGTTATCACCCTCATCTATGCCTGGAGTACCTATACCAAGGTTCCCAAGCTGAACTATTTTATTAATAGAGAATTAAATTAGTATTCTGTTTTTTTTTAAATATAGAACAGCTCCATGTAAGATAATTAAGTCGGTCAAAATGTAGGAAAAACTTACGACAATGCCTTTCAACTTGATTGGCGTGACATTGATTCTGTTGTATTCGAGCACGAGTGCAGCAAGTTGCGGTATTAAATGACCTGTAAACATTGGTACAAAATTTTAAAACATTCTGACATAAAGACTCTTTTACAACAACAACAACAACAACCCAGTTAAATCCCACAAGAGTAGGGTCTACGTAGACCTTGCCCCTACTCGAAAGTAGAGAGGCTGCTTCCAAAGAGACCCCCGGCTCAACGTCGAAAGTTGCATTGCTTGACTAACTGCTACTTCATTAATTAAAGAAGCGCAGATAGTTTAGAGATCCATTTTGATTTATTCCATCACACCCCAAAGCCAAAAAATGATGAAATTTTGGCTCCATCGGAGGTGATGGAAACATAAAGACTCTTTTCTAAATTATAAATCGGTACGTCAATATATCGTAATAGTCCTATATGACATGGCGAAAAAATGATCACCTTCAGAATCATCTCCAGCCAAGTAGAAATCCAAGTTTCTATATTTTGGGAATTCCTCAAACCACTTGAGGAGAAATTTCATATTTTCATTCACTGCATGGTGGGTTTTCAAAAAGATTAAAAAGAACAAAATTCATATCTATCACTTACAATTAGAGTGTATGGTAGGAAAAGGGTTACGTTATATTGTTACCTGTCATGGTATAATTCCATTTGGTATAGTCGGAACTTGTATTAGAGAATGAAAAACCAATTCCAACAGGGGAGTCTACATATAACATGTTGGACTCTGCATATACAAAGAAGGAATTTTTATAATGCATCAAAATTTCAATAAAATCAAAACAATATTTAGAAAAAGAATCTACATCCTAGTTTATTTGTTTGTTTGAGTTTTTTAGTCAAAATTTATAAAACAACCAAAATTAGTAAATAAAATACATTTCATTGATTATGTTGTAGTATTAAGAAATTAATTCAACCAAAAGTTGCTAAAGACCTCAGTCCAATGACATTATGACTCTCCCAGATGGGAAGTCATGTGTTCAAATCCTAGTACTCTCCGAGCTTGAATAAATTATTAGAATGTATGAACAAATATTACCATGTAATAAAGTTATTAGTGTTAAAAAAATCAATCAAAAGTTCAAATTTTTGTTGTAGGACTAGGAAGAATTTACTCTAATGTGCTCCCTCAAGTGTAGACAGTGGCGAGATTCGAACATGTGATCTTTAGGTCAGTAATTCTCTCATATACTATGTTAAGGAATCAATTCAACTTCATGTTCAATTGTTCAAACATGAACGTGTGATCTTTAGGTCAGTAATTCTCTCATATACTATGTTAAGGAATCAATTCAACTTCATGTTCAATTGTTCAAACATGTGATTGTAACCCCAAGAAATATTTTATACTGCAAGATATTCTAAATTCAATACCAGTGGATTCAATAAAAAAATAATTTTGAAATATGATATTTCTATTGTACTACCTATGTCAAATTGAACAACATTTTTAATATCAGTTAAATAAAAATAACAATGCATATTGTTATTAAATATTTTTTTATTTTTTTAATAATTATATTCCATCCACTTGACTGAGAAAATAGAACAAATGAGGTTTTTTTGTTATGTTCAAATGTAGCTATTAAAAAGAACTCCTAAATCATGAAAGATCACTGAGTACAAAGTAAAAACACATACCTAAGTTCCAGGAGAACATGTTTTGTATCAGTTTCCCATCCTTTCTTGACCTAAATGGACCATTTCCATCCAATATAGAGCTACCAGCTGACGAACAACCATGTCC